TTTGTATTGTTAAAACTTAATGAGTTCATGAGATTGACTCTGCTGCAATTATTTCTTGGTGATGTATAACAAGTAGCTGTTCTTACAGGCTTATAAAATGTTCCAGAGCTCCATTAATTTGCCCTTCATTAGCTATGTAATTTTGCTAATGACCTAAGATATTTAGAGGCATTGTCCTGTGAGAATTATGAGTTTGACTGTGAGGCCTCACGGAAATGCTGCACACACAGCCCCAGCCCATCTTACCACCAGAAATTCGTTCTGCCCTGCTGAATCTAATTGTATTTTTTACTTTTGTACCGAAGTAGAGTCATATCCTATTGATAAATGAATAATTATTTCATATATGAAATTACTCATTTAATGGAAGTTTGCAGTGTTAGAGTGTAAGTGATTAAATTTGTTAATTGTGTAATATTGCTGGACATAATGATGCATTTAACCATTAACAGTTTTCCGCTGCATTGCCTTTTAAATTCTCATTGTAGTGTGTTATACATTCTTGTTGCCTTTTCATCAAGTGTTAATAATCATGGAAAATAAAGGTTAGAGTCTGGAAAGGAAAGTATCCCAACTGTGATAACAGGAAGAAAAATGATGTGGGTCACTGGAGACCCCAGTTGGTAAGGCAGTGTCTGAGCAGTATATGGTATGGGAAATATTGGGAGCAGTGAGCATGTTCATATTCACCACATGATCCCTCCTTTGCTTTTTCATATTCACTGTACAAAATAGCAAACATAACAGAGGAATTTGCAAAGAAGTGGTGTGACGGACAACATAGGCTGTAGTTCCTACTTTCATCTGTCTGAACAGCGCTTGGTGTCCATCAGCCCTGGAGATTAATATGGGATTTGACTATAACAAGGGGAGAACCTGCATGAGGCCTGGACTCTGCCATACTCCACAGTGTATACCTTCATTTGCCCGAAGACAAAAGGTTTGCCCTCCCTAATTAGTAGTGTGTGATGCAGAAAGCAAGTTCTGTGGCCTGTGCCATTGGGCTGGTGCTTGTAATGAGATGACCAGGACAGCTCCAAGTGCCTTGGCCACTGCTGCTACATGGGAACATGGCTGTTTTCTCAGCTTTTCTGGAGCAAATGGCAGCAACTGAACCACAAGGGCTGAATAAGTGCCAAAATCAGAGAATCACAGAATGGGAAAGGACCTTTAAGATCATCTCATTCCACCCCCTGCCATGGGCAGGGACATCTTCCTCTGGACCAAGCCCCGTCCAACCTGGCCTTGAACACTTCCAGGGATGGGGCAGCCACAACTTCTCTGGGCCAGTGCTTCACTACCCTCTAAAGAATTTTTTCCTCATATCTAACCTAAACATGCTCTCTTTCAGTCTGAAGCCATTCCCCCTTGTCCTGTCACTACATTCCCTTGTAAATAGTTCCTCTCCCTCTTTTTTGTAGACCCCCTTCAGGTCCTGGAAGGCTGCAATTGGGTCACCCTGGAGCCTTCTCTTCTCCAAGCTGAACAATCCTAATTCTCTTAGTGTTTCCTCATAGGAGAAGTGCTCCATCCCTCTGATCATCTTGGTGGCCTCCTCTGGACTGACTCCAACAGGTCCATGTCCTTCCTGTGCTGAGGACCCCAGAGCTGGAGCAGCACTGCAGGGGGGGGTCCATCCCAGGGGATCAGCCATGGTTGGGCCCAGCCCCCTTCTTTGCAAGTGGGGATGCTACGTGTGACCAGGGAAATGTGAGGAGTGGGCAGCAGAACTGGAGATAAACGCTGGATTTATGTCCCATGACAACCCATTATTTGATTGTGCTTTCAATGTTTCCCTTCTCTGCAGCTTGTACCTGTAAGAAAGCTGCCTGGCCTCTGTGTTTTGGGTACAAGATGAGGATTTCCAGAAGGGTTATCTTTACTGATATTGAAGTAAATCACCTTTCATAGATCAAGCAGATCAGGCAACATATAACACCGTTAGACCAAAGTTGAAACAATCCCTTGAAAAGCCAGAAAAGCTTCAGAAACTGGCTTAAACATTATCTTTGAAAGCAAAGTCATTTTGCTTCAAGATAATCATCACAATTTAGATGCTGTACATTGTACTCGGATAAAGAGGGAATTTGGCAGATGAGCTTTTGCCTCTGGAGCCCCCAGATGACTGGAACCAGCTTCCCTTTCAGCTTAAATCAGCAAACAGCATAATCTCCTTTAAGCCTGGGTTTAAATGGCTGTTTGAAGGAGGATTGTGCAAAATCTATTTCCAGTAATATGGTTACTGGAGCTAAAGAGTATGTGTTGTTTTCATGAGATTTTTGGATGGCCCTGTGGTGTGCATTAAATTACTGCAAGAATCCTGCAGTAGATGATTTTCACTTAATCTTTAGGTATATGTGCTGGTGGCTCTTTGATAAAACTGAAAGCAGCTCTTGGTTCTTGGACATTTTTTAACTGCAGTGAACAGAGTAGTTGTCAATACCCTGAGTAGTCCCTTCTGCTGGCTGTAGGAAAGGTGCTTGTGTTTGTTGTGTCCATCGAGTCACAGCTAAAGGTCCCTCTTCTGATGTGAAATACCAGCGTGAGATTGAAGTCAACAGGAGCAACCTTTCCTCTGCCTGCATTTGTACCTCAGATGGAATAGCTGTGTCCTTACTGGCATTCCTTTTTTGGGGTATATATTCCTGGTGACAGTTGCCTGTCCATTCTGGCTGGTACAGTTCGAAGTCCTGACTTTGATGAAATCAAGGCCAGAGTATGCTGCACTTCTCCCCATCTTGGGCAGCCCAGTCTGGGGTCCAGCTCCATGGAGGTTGAGGCCTTTTGCCCTTCAGCCTTCTCCAGTTTTTTGGGCATAATGTTCTTGAAAAAAAAAGTGCCTATTTGTGGGCTTCAGTGACAGAGTTATCTCGTTGGGAGATTAACTATGTGTGAATATTTATTAGAAGTACGAGCAAAGAACTTTCCTGCAAAGCTGCAGGCAACACTCAAATATCTGAACTAAATCACAGGTTTCTGAAATAAAACATTGCATGTTCTCTGCCTCTGCTAGACCAACTGACAGTGGTTCTGCCGGGAAATAAATACCAAAAAGCTTATTTCTTTCTAGATTTCGCCATCTTTATTGCTTTTGTTTTCAATGGGAGTGATTTCTTGTGTATGGTTCTTCCTTCTTTTTCACCTTCCTCCACGTCAAGGTTGAAGGTAAAAGCTGGAGCTGCTTTTTATAGTTCTCCAAGGCAAGGTGTAGCAACTAATGTTACAATAATGTGATAATTAAAAATGGGGGAAGAACAAAGGTTACTTCACTCACACTCTCGTAAGCACCAAGATGAATGTGTCCAAGTGGGCAGGCCAGCATCCAGGCACCAAGGCATGTTCCCATGTGGCCTGTCCAGGATTCCTGGAGACAGAGAAGAGGACAAGCTATGCTGGCTCTCTAGTCCTTGTTATGTATCTCGTAACCTTCTAAACTTGGTTAAGTATGTGCTGGTTTTGAATGTGCCTGGTTTATGCCCTTCAGGAGCTCACAGTAGTTGTGATCCTGTTGTCTGTTGTGTCCCACTTCTCTCCATGGTTAGGATTTACTTTTTTTTTATCTAGGTGTTGACTTGGCTCTTCCCCTACTCTCTGTCTTCCCACCACCATGTCCTCATGGGTTTACTCTCTGTTTCAGTATCCTTTATTTTTCTTATCTGGGAGTTGTTGGATCATGACCTGCTGTCAGCACTTGTCATCCTTATATTCCTCCTCTCGCTGTTCCTTCTGGTGCTCTCACACCATGGCCTCCATTCGCTCCCCATTCCTACTGCTCTCAACATTGTCATTAGATATTTCTACAAAGTGACTATGAGAGTTCATTCTGCTCATGACCCTGCTGTGCTTGGAGATCCCTGCGTTCCCCTGCAGTCTGTTGTGAGTTTGGCAAGTTGCGTGAGCACTTTATTTATTTATCATTTCATATTTCCAATATTTACGTGAATTGCTGGCACTGCACAGATAATATCTGTAGATCTTAACAACTGATCATGTATGGTTATGGTAATCTGGAGAAAATGCAAATGAACTATGAGAACTGCTTCATCTATAAATAAAACCATTTAGCTTCAAAGCAGTATTGCTATGGAAATTCTTCACTGATAAAGTATGGGAGTGGGGCTTTTCTCATTTAGATTTCCTGAGCCTTTTTATTTTATGCTGACAAGATGCCAGAGGGAAAAGAGCTATAAACTCAGTATTGCATATTTAAAAGATGGTATTTTATTTCATCTTCTTAATTCCAAATCTTTCCATTTACAGTATACAACCATGAATTTAAATTTATACCAAATGAGGAAAAAGGGATAGGAAATATTATTGTTGCCAAGCTATATCCAGTGCTCACTGAAAACTTTGTTTCGAGTTGGCTTTGGTCCTATATTTGTAAACACTTTTCTAATCAATATTTCTCAAATACATTCAGGAAACTTCCTCTGAACCACACACAAGATGAAGAGCCCCTAAGGGAGGATATCTGAGAGAAAACACATTTAACTGATCTATGAGAGTGGTGCACATTAAATCTAATCTCTGTGAATGCAAGATTCAGTGTGTGCCAGTCTTGCCAGGATTTACTTTCTGTTGGAGCTCTGGGCAGGACTGAGCTCCATGTGACATCAGCCTCACTGGTGTTGCACTGAGGAGGTGGGAGGAGCTGGTTAGAAGCTACCTTAGATGTTGCTGTGCAAAATCATAGCATCCTGAGTCTTCCGTGTCTTGTGCCTGGTAATCCCTATCTAGCAGAGTTAGTAATCAGCACCTTGTTTTGCTTTTCTGAAGCTACAGTTCTGCTGTTGTTACTGTATTTGTGTAATGGCAGTTCACTCAAAAATATGAACTTCGTCCAGATGAAGCATGGGTGCATTATCATATTTCTGTGGGGTTATTCAAAGCAGCAGACAGTATTTCTTCCGACAAGATTTATGTTAATCATGTTGTTCTGTACTGGATATAAAGTTGGCTTAAAGTCACTCTTTATTTGTTTGGGTTTTTTTAGGTGACCTGGCAGAAGTGAACTGTGCTTTGCATCTGCACCTCCCGTGCCTTTCGATTCCATTGCAATTATCTGTAACTGCATTTGCTGCCTCCTAGAATGACAACTTCATACTGAGGTCTCTGGATCTTATCAGACTTTGGTTTCTGAATCAAACACAGAGACTCCTGGATGAAGCTCTAATATGGATCTAGGCAATGTTGTATCACACCTTTTATCCCATGTCTTTCTGTGGAAACTTCTTACACAGCTGCACAATCTCCAAATAGATCTGGATGTGGAGTGGTGCAGTGATACAAATGGAAGTCATCTCACAGCTTATTGCAAGGTATGGAGAAAGGGCTTTGTTCAATTTCCATTTTTTAGCATACATTAAAACCAATCAGGCAAGCCAGCCCATCAGTGTTATTGGGAGAAGCCTGGTGTCTTTATGAATTAGTGATCAGCGGTTAAGATAACGCTTCCCTTTATTGATCGTACGCTGCTACATTCAATTAAAATGAGAAATAATTTCATGCAATTAAATCCAGCTCACTGGGGGTGACCAAGCATGCCGTGCACATTGTGAATATCACCCAAAGGAAAACTTCAAATTGGTAAAGAATACATTGGACCATCCCCCTGCTCAGAGCAGGAGCTGGCTGAGTTCCCTCCGCCCCCTCTGTGCACACGCAGATTATCGTCCCCTGGTCCCCACGGCCTCAGCTCAGTGTTGGAGGAGAGTGCTGTTAGCTGCTGACTGTGCACCTCATTTTGTCTTCCCATGGTGATGGTAAGGAGGTGTTACCTACTTTGATTAAGTGCATCACTGGCTCATCATGAGGCCCTCTCCAAATCCATGCTGTGAACAGCAAGAGCCCTTGGGGTTTGGATCACTCAGAGTAGGAAAGCAGTGTAGATCCCCACGGGCTCCTTAGCAGAACTAAAGAGCCAATGTGCAGTCAGAAGTGCAGGTTCCCTTGAGAAGGTCATGTGTGACAGTTCAAAGGGGAAAGCTTTTTTAATAAGACAGCAGACTAAAGTATCGAAGCATGCAAAACTGTTCAACTTGACACACAAAGCAGGAAGCAAATGGATGTTTGGCTCCTCTGTGACCCTGGGAGTTTGGGATATTTTCAACACATCCCTTTTGGCTGGATTTGCCTCTCCTCAGCAGATAGTGTTACACATTCCTTCAGCACACCTCAGTCAGACATATCCCAGCCGCTTGCTTTGCTGGTGAGCCACAAGGTTATTTCACTCTGACAGTGCTTGATTTCTCTTTTTCTCACCTGCAGAAATCAAAGTATTCCCATACCTATCACTTAGCAGTTGCTCCTCCGAACAGTTTGTTTCCTTTTCAAGTGGAAATCTGCAGATTTGTCACCCTTTGAGGATCAGATGAGTGATCACCACCCTTTGCCGGGAGCACAGACAACCTTGGCTCTGTGCTCCCCTGTGCTGTGCAGCAGTAAATTAGACCACCACTGTCTTTTGTGGGGAAATGCCAATATGACTCCTCTGGTATCCCCAGTTGCCCCAGGAGGGAAAATCATCAAAGCCAGATTTTTCTCTTTTTCTTTTTCCTGAGAAGATGAACTGTAATAGTGAATTGTCCTCTAGCTTTCTTTTTTTTTTTCCCCTGGAAAAAAATGGACATATTTCACCTGTGATAACTTGCATCACATTTTTTACTACAGTCTTGATTGAATCAGGTCAGTTGTACTGAATGCTGTGTATACATGTAAAACAATCCCTGCCCTGGTGCCTATAAAGGTCGTAAAGCAAAAGAGAAACCTTCTTTGAATGTGGGGAGAAAGGAGAACTTAAAAAAAGAAAATGTATTTTCTTCAACCTCTGAAACTAATTTTCTGGGCAAACAGGGTGCTGGCTGGCATGTTCCTGCCTGAGTTGGAGGTTCCTTTTTTTCATGAGGAATTAACCACAGCTCATGTCGGTGCAAAGTTTTGTATTTGTTGTGAACTTCAGGCAGAAGCAGCTCACATTTTATGGTTCTTTGATTTGTTAAAATGTGTAAAAATCATCAGAGTGAAGATTGTTAGTTTTGCATATTTTAAAATCACAGAATCACTGTTTCTCTGACTTTGTTTAATCTTCTAAATTCATGGCTTGACTTTGTGATACATTCTTTTTGGGAAACAGAAGCTGTAATGCTTTAGAAGCTTATGCAGATGCAGGCTTTATCTTTTTGAAACAATAATTTTGGGTTGAGGGCAAGATCATTTGTACATAGTAATTCTGTATTGGAGGCGAGAGGTTGGGAAAGAAATACAGTGAGAGGTGTACGCTGAACTAGTTTAAAAATTAAACTGGACAAAGCTTTCCCTATAGATAGAAGTGTTACTTTATCTGCTGAACATTGATTTAATAATGTAGGAACTCCTCTGACAGCTAAAGCTGCCTATAAAACTTTTATGTCACTGTTATTATGGAATCATCACTTGAAGTGTAGGTTATATATGGTCATTTTTTTAATCACTAAATTACACTGAATGAATTTTCTAACAACTAGACTTTCCAAATGAGTTTTCCTTTTTTTTATTTCCCCACCCAGCTTCCTTGTGGCAGCTGAAAGGCTTCCTACCTGTTGAATACTCATTCTGTTGGCAGGAACCTGCTTGAAATAAATTCTTGCCTACATAGTTTTGCATGTTTCCTTGATCAGAGGAGTATTTTAAAGACTTAAAAGAGGATGTTTCCATGTGACACAGCTGTGGCCAGAGGTGTGTCACATCTCTGGATCTTGGGAATGGCATCCTCAGGAATATGAGGAAGTCTGTTGTGGGAACTGAACAGAAGGATCTGCAGGAAATCCTGAGTGAAGTGGAGGTGTTTGGAGCATTGCTGTGTGTTCTGTCTCAAACCATTTGTTTGAAGAACCTGCAAGGTTGAACAACTCAGCTCCTGCTGTTGCATGCAGAATTTTACTTTAGTCTGGGTTTACTTCAATTCAGTATTAGAGCATTCACCTGCAAGTTAGTGTGTGAATTTTGCTTCAGTTACTTTAATCCATTTTCATTACTTTTCTCTAGACAAATCCACAATTACGTATTTTGGTCTTCCTTATTTTTTCCTACTGAGCTTGCTTTGTGATAGCAGGTTGTGATCAGAGACCCAGTCCAGCCTTCAGTGGAAGGAAGCAAGATGAGGAAGAGAATTAATTTGCCTAGTGTCTAACAGGAGTCTTCCTATTACATATCCAGTAGCTTTAATGATGTTGGTGATTTGGGGCTTTTTCTGAGAAAAGACTAGACTTCTCCTTGAGATTCATAGGATTGCTGAATTTGGATGGACATGAGGAGGACTGGAAGAAGAACACGTCTCCTACAAGAGTATCTCAGGAATGTAAGGGTTCCTTGGGTACTCAAATCCTTCACTCCACATCCACAGTTAAATCGTTTGGTGCTGGGAGCTGAGTGTGACAGGACAGAGGGAATTCACTCATCAACCCGGTGGAGCCACTCTCCCTTCCCAGGGTGGCAGCACGTGGGCAGAGCACACACACACACACACACACACACACACACACACACTGTGCTTGGGCAGTTTTCCTGGTGTGCAGCTCAGAGCAATGGTGTGGAAGAGCAGTGATGTGCTCCTGCTAAACAGACCATCCAAGCATTACAGGAATTGGCGTCGGCTCTCTGGAGCTGCTCATGCAGAAACCTGTTAAAAACTCCAGAGGATGAGTGATATCTGCCTGGTGTTGCATGGCTGCTGCTTCTGTATTTAATCCCTTCTGGGTCTTCATGGGTTAATCATTTACAAGTGTGAGGTTTCTTGTGACATGCTTGGCCAAATCCGATGAACAGACTTCAATTTAAAGTGAGCGGAGTGTTGAAAAATGAAATGTTTTTGAAAGTTAAATTGCAGTCATTTATATGAAAATGCCTTAGGTAGTTCATTTCCCCCCACCCCAAAATATACTCATTTTATAGCACATTAATAATTCATGTGCATATTGGTTATAGACATAAAGCACAAAAATATATGTTCTTTATAAAGCATAGATTTTTGAAACAAATAGGAATTGGTACTATCTGATGATGGTAATACCTGATTAGCTCCATATTATTTAATTGTTGATGGCTGTTCGTGATTATTAATTGACACAAAGAAGAAACAGGATTCTCTGCAGTGGTTTGCAGGAGGTCTCCAGAAACATATCACTGTAACATCAGATTTATAGGCACAGCAAGATACACGTGAGGCAGCAAAGTTTAACCCTTGGTGGCTTTCATGGCAGGTTCTGCACTCTGGTTTGCTAAGCCAGTGTGAGAAGAAGATGGTGAATGTGTGGGATAACATGGATAAACACTTCCTCTGGGCACTAAAATAGGGATCTCCTAGGAGTTCCTAATTTGTGATGAGTGATTCTCTGTCAAGAGTCAAGGAGGAGCAATTCCTACGCCCCACTCCTTGTTTTATAACAAGGACTAGGCCACAAATGGTCCTTTGGCACATTGTGGTATTAAGTTTGCCCTCACTACTCTACTGACATACACGTTTTTTATTGACTGAACATCCTTGTGCCATTAAAGGTTAAAATATTCTTGATATCCTGTGCATAGGTGCCTGTTGTATGTAATAGTTATGTCCTGCTCACATATGGCTGAGTTTCTGTGGCATAAAATAGACCAACAACCCCATCCTGGTAATGTTGGCAGAGTTGTCTTCCTGCCTACAGAGATGAGAAAACTGCTTTTCACTCCATTTGAAGCTGGGGTAGATTCTGCTCTCCTGGTAGGACTTGAGCTATGAAATGTGTTAGATCAGGTGAATGAATATGTTGATGCCCATCACAGCTGAAATCTGAGAGCTGAGTGAGGAAGGTCCCAGGTACGTGCACAGCTCAGGTGTGTTAATGTAGCTCAACTTTTGCTGTTCTAGAGGAGGATGCAGGTGATTCCATTGGAATGAGGGACTTGAGCAAAGTGAATTTTACTCTGTGTTCAAGGTTTGAATTTATGCATTAAACTTGATACCAATTTTTTGGAAATGCCGGAAGTTAGAGGAATGACTTGTTTGCTTGATTTCACTCCAGTCCTATGATTAGTAATTAAATATGGCAGTGGAAGGCATTCCTGCTCCAGGGGGTGGACTGTGGAATAAAGGGTCATTCTCTTTCAGTCCTGCTTGGCATCGAGGATAATGGCAGAACAGTTTCATGTTGCCAGGAGTGTTTTCCCGTGCCCTGTCTGTGTGCAGGTGGGTGAGATGTTGCCCATGGCATGGGGCTGATGTGCCCAGTCATGGAGCGTGGGCACGTCCTGCCCGGAGCTGTGGGAGACAATGATTGTGCATGTGTGGACATGGGGAGGAGGAGACCCTAGAGAAGTATGTGGTGCCTTTTGGTATGTGAGTGAAACTGCCTTAATAAATACCACTGGAATAGTGTGGTGTGATGAATTGACTCGGAGGAAATTCTGGGAGACAGGAGAAGTAGCACATGAAATATGGGAATGACTTTACATTGCAGGATGATGAGGACTCTTCTGAAAAAACCTGAGCCATATGAAAGCTCTTTTGCTGCAGGAGAGGCATGCTGGGAAGAGTAATTTTACTGTGATTACTTTTTGAGAGAGAAATATTTAGGATTTTTTAATCCATCAGCGCATTTTTGTCAGCTGTTAGAGACACTGGGGTAACTTATTCAGAGGTATCTTGGAAGATATCAGTGTTGGATATATTGGAAGAAAGCAAGTCTGAGTATGTCACCTCTGATGTTGTCGATAAATATCAGCCCATTCAAGGTGCTTAAGAATTTTCTGCAGAAGTTATAAACTTTTCATTAATTTTTAATTTTTTTTTTCCAATTAAAAAATAATTACCTGACATTTGAAATTAATTTGAGCAAGCTTGCATAAACACGTTTCAATAAAATCCTTAGACATTACCAAAATACATTTAGTTTCCTTTGAAAATATTTCCAGTTGTGCTTTCCAGTCTCTAAACAACTCCTTTAAAGGACTTTCCTGATCAGGTCAGAAGAAACACACTGGGAAAAAAAGAGCAACGTGAATGTGGAGTGGAGATGTGAAAGATGAAGGTACACAACACCACTTTGAGATGTTGAGATCAAGTGTCTGTGTTTTGTGTTTGGATAGGTATTTTAAATAAGTCATTTCACATGTACAGCCAAACTTTGCAACATCCCCTCGGTGGTGAAAAGCTCAAGTCTGCCTTAGTAGGGAAGCTCTGTTTTAGAGGTCTTTTCCTCCAAAACTCATTTCTTCTCTTTGGATGTACTAACTTGCAGGGCATGATTTACAACATTGTCTGTGCAAGCATTTTTAGGAGGGAAAAGTTCAGATATTTGGGGCTGCAGACAGAAAGGTACTAATCTGAATTTTTCACTTGCAGCTCCCAGGTATTCTTACCCTTAGAGGAAATGGCCATGGGAATTTTGGGCAAACACAGCTGTTTCTTATGTAGGTTATTTCATGGGTTTGATTTTTAATTTCTTATGGTGCCATGGGCTAAGTGATACAGGCATTCTTAAAAATAAAATAATAATGATAATTGCAAGTGTTGGGGAGTATATTTTGGAGGAGAGGACTGCAGAAATGCCTTTAAGGAGTACAAAAGAGTTATTTAACTCTGTGCTAGGCTTTTGCTCCTGTGGTCTTTTAGTGAGGTTTATGTGGTTTTAAATACGCCTTTGAGGACTCATGCGCAGTAAGAGAGTATGATCAAATCACTTAAGGGTTGATATGGCTTTTTCTGTGGATTATCTGGCTGTGGCTGCAATAACAGTGTTGTTTTCCTCTGGCCAATCAGTGCTGTGTGCTGCCACGAAATTCCCGCACACTTAAACTTTATTGCAAATTTAAATTACTTACATTATTTTGTCAGACAGTAATTCCCCGAAGCATTATAAACCAAATCATTAATTGCTATTTCTAATGTGCACGATCCATTGGAAAACATTAAACAACACTCACGGTTCCCTTTATTGTTATTGCTCTTCCAGTCCCTGAGGCAGCAGATCAGATGGAAACTCCTGGGCAATCTCAGACTGACGTTCAGTGCTCCTGACAGAGATGGCTCTGGGCTGCAGATGTTCACGGGGCCATATGGCATCTGCACGTTGTCTTCGAGAATTATTACGAAATAGACTGTTTTGGAGGGGAAAGATAACCTGATCATAAATATTAATCCCTGCAGCTGTAGTTTGAATGACTGTAAAAGTGTCATAATGGAATTCCAGACTTTTCCTGTTTTCATTCACTGGTGTGTATTTTCCATACTATTTCACAAGTAAAAATCTATTTTTCAGAGAACTTTTTGGTAACCCTACAGGTTGTCTGGACACAAGCTGAGTTTTTTCTTGACAAGAACATCTGAACTAAGATGCATTGTACATGCAAAATGTAATTCTTGTCAGGAGATCTAAACCAGTGGCTTTCCCAGCAAAATCCTGTTGTCTTGTTTTTCCTCCAAAACACTAATAATCCCAACTGTAGAGCTGAAAACTCTGCTTTTCTACCTGAGCTCCAGTAACACCAGGGCATTGGTGGAAACCCTGGTGCCAACTCACCATTAGGCCTGGGTGGAACGTCTTGTTGAATTTGACTCTTTATGACCTTGTCTATTTTTCCTGCAAATAGGTGTATTTCCAATACCTTGAGAACATCTGTTTGACCAAAGCTGTCTGTCACTGGGTCTGGTAGAGTGGCTGTGTACTGCTTGGTTAGATGTTGCTTTCTTCCTAAGGCCCCTTGATGTCACCGTGAGCATCTCCTGAAGGATTACTTCCGTGGGGTCACAGATTTGTGCTTCATGCCTCACTTTACAGAAGCCTCTATTTTGCTGGGCAGCAACTCACAGATTGTGCCAGGTTTGTGTCTGAGCCCATTTCTTGTGTCCATGAGGTGCAAGAAGGAGACTGGCACTGACTGTCCAGCTTGGCTGGAGCTCATCCAGTGGAGATTGGTTGTTCACAAATTTATTCCATAGAATCATAGATACAGTACTCCAGGTGAGATTTCCTGAGGGAGGAGCAGAGGAGAATCACTTCCCATGACCTGCTGGCCGTGCTGCTTTTGATCAGCCCAAGACACATTTGGCTTTGCTTGTAGTGAGCTCCTGGGCTCTTTTGTGCTGATTTTAAACTAAGGCTTTTGGCTTAAGAACAGCTAAAAAGACTGGGGGGAGCATTTAAATCCTTCAGTGCAGTTGATCAAATTCTCTAAACATTCTTGTCTTGATTTTCCTTTTAATTTGTGGCATGAAACGACTGTGTGCCTGCTTGTAGAGAATTGTCTGCATATTCTGCAGTGCCTCTCAAATAAACATCAGGTGTCCTGTTGGAATGATGCTCCTGATGGCAGAGCACTTGATTGCTGTCTCATACTGAGGCTGGTAACAGCACTTAAGAGGCCTTGTGCCTTCTCAGTTATGTTTTGGTAGAAGATGCCCTTAAGCACATTTGACCTTTTCTTTTGAATTTTTTTTCTTTTTAAGGGTGAGACTTTGGGAATATTTTGGGTACTCTGGGCATGCTTTCTGTGAGGGGATAGGAGAGATTTTAATGCTGTGTCTGTGAAGGATCTCCTGTACACTCGTAACCCATAAAAGTGAGTGTCAATAAGTTGTACAGGAAATTCTTCAGAAAATTATTTGATGTAAGTGGCAGTGACCTCAGATTAAACTGCATGAATTAAGAACAGGAGCAGGGCTGAACCTGGAGAGGCTCTGTGAGTGCCTGTCCCACAGCGCTGTAGGTGTGGGAACACGTGCACTGGGCTGCACGTTTTGCAAGTACTGCTTTAAATCACTGGTTTTCTGAAAGTGAAGCTAAAGGACCGCGTATGTAAGAATCTGGAGCTTTTTATCAGTGCTGTTAAGAAAATCTGAAGATATTTTAAATTACTTCAAAAGCTTTACCATGGAATAAGCAAAGTAGCAGAGCAGAATTCTTCTCTGGGAGGAGCCCAAGGCTATCCTGGGTTCCCTGTTGCAGTGTCCTTAGTTTTATATTGTAGATATAAAAGTGGTGACACCGATATAGCGGGGTGGAGAGCCCGGCCTGTGGAACACCCCTGGTGCAATGGAGATGGCTTCCCCTGAATTTTTGATATACCAGATTGCCCTGATTTGTTCAGTCTAAAGCTACTGCCATTTTGCCTGTTTGGTTATTAGACTTCTGCCTGTTCACATGAGCCACAATTACCACACAGGGATGAAAGACCAAGTACTTTAAGCCTGATGAAACTGTATTTTAGGTTTACCAAAGCACAAATATATTTGACACAACCCTTCCTCGGAAGATGTAGTTCAGTTTAATGGGCTTCATCTAGAGCTGGCTCAGCACCTGGTGCAATGTGAGCCCCTCACTGCAGTGCTACTGCTTTGCAATTTGCCTTCTTGTTATTTGGATTCTTTCCTCTTGGCCTCATCCTCTCTTTGCAAATGCTAATATCTCAGTAATTGCTGTAGCCCTGCCCAGGACCGAGTACTGATCTCTGTTTTTACTGTTGATTAACAGAGAAAGGTAAAGTGTGTGTATGAATATGTTGAATATTTTATTCTTTCATTTCTTCATTAGATTAAAATTTTTGATATGTGGAGAGCCGTGAAAGCTCAGGTGTTAGATTGTCTGCTATAGTGGGGTTATACTGAGACACCATCAGAATACTGAATACATGCAGCCTTCATCACAGATGGACCCTGGATTCCTATTTGGGCGCCCAAATATTTGTGATGGAAAAAAGTTAGCAATTTCTTGGAGTTTTCGAATTTGCCTTTTGGAATAATTAAACTTAAAAACCTGTGCAAATCCCCTCTCTTACCCTGAAATATATGCTTACTTTTAACAACAGGAGTGAATTTGGAAGATATATAGAGTTTTCCGATAATGCAAGATTTTAAAGCATGACTTAAAATCGTGATGTGGAATATGGAAATGATGAATATCTGAAGGATACACAGATTCCAAACTGTTTCTCTCTTCCTCCTTCTCAGTAACTCTACTGCTTAAACTGCAAAAGGCTCCCTCTGTGATACGCAGAACTATTAGAGGGTACAGTTTGAGGAGGATCCTCCTGGTTCAAGTCAGATATTCTGCGAATAAATACTTGCCCTAAGGACTTCTCACTTCTTTGGGGAATTTTCTGGCAGTCTCCAAGCTGCTTAGTGGAGAGGAATTTATTGGAAACTTTCAGATGGCTACAAGTGCAGGTTTCTGGGATGAAAACCCTGCAATCCTTGCCCTGGTGGCAGTTCCAGGGAGCACTGGTGATATCAGCTCATCTGTTGAACCCTGATGGTTGAGTAGAGCGAGACAAACACAGAGCTCTGATCCAAAACTGAGCTGCTTGCTGGAATTGACAGTTTCCAACTAGTGTTCCCACAAGAATATGCTGGAATAAATTAAACTGGAACTTCTGGAATAAATTAAATTTACGCATAAACAGTTGTGTTTGGAGCTGGATGAGGGGAAAGAATAGGGCTTAAAAGTTCAATAATCTTTTTCCTCTAATCCTGCAGGCTTGCTCCACTGTTAAGGATTCCTTGGAGGCCACTGGAAAGTGGTGTCACTGTACAACTGAGGGTGAGATGGGATGTGTTCATTAACACTGTTCATTGTGGTGGTGAGTGCAGATTCTGCAGAAGTACCTTCAGACAGTTTTTGGAAGGGAGGGCCAGCAGCTGGTAGTGTAGCAAAGTTGAGTAATAGGCTCTGAGGTTCCTTCTGCCTGTTCCAAGCATTTACTGTAGATTCATATCATTTAGCAGCTCTTCCCTGACACTCTGGAATTTCCCTCTCAGATATTTTCATTTCAGTGCAAATATCTTCAGGAACTTGGTGTTTTCGGTCTGGTCAGCTTTTCAGTACAAATCAAGATGCAATTTTGTAATTTAGGTAATTGGATTTTTCTTAGTAACTAACTCTAAATCAAATTTACACATGGAAGCAACTGCAGCAGGAGAGCAAAGGCAGGGATCCCAGAGCAAACTAAGTGGTGAATTCTGGTTCAGTAAAGGATTTCCCAGATTGGTTCAGGAATCCTTTGTACTATCCCACACTCCTATTTAATGAGATTGGACTACATTTGAAACAAAAACTGAGTTTACGTTTGAATCATTACAAACTTTGGGGAAAGGAAAGGAAGGAAGTATTGATATTATGTAATATTTTGTTATCCCTTTGATTTTGACATTTCCTGGAGCCAAGTGAGCTAAAGTACAAGGGATGTAAATGAATCCATCACATTTGCAAATGAAACTCAATGCAGAGTAACTCAATGTAGGAGCTCAGGCCATCTCCCTGTGTGCCTTAAAGTACCTCTAAGGACAACTTGGTGGTCATCTCTCATTATAAAGGTGATCAATAGGAATGAAAATGGCAATTCAGTTGGGCAGACCCAGTGTAACTGCTGGATTCATTTCAACTCCCAAGTTATCCAGCCCTCCCAGCAGAGTGAGACTGAACAGGCACTCAAACACTTGAAGGGAAGAGCAGGCTTAGGAGCAAAGCTGAGTGTGTTGAAATAGTAAGATCAAGGAGCTGTCGTGAGAAGAATGATGCGGTAGCAGATAGCACCCAGCACCTCCCGTGTGGATGTAACTGCACTGAAAAAGGCTGGATATGAGCCAGTATTATTTCTGGAGAGCTGAGAGACATGACAAGAAAAATGTCATCTTCTTTTAGTCTGTAGCTGGTAATAGTAATTGGCCTAATAATGTCATCCTGCAGTTATTTATATGCAGCAGGATATACTGGGATCGATTCCATTTGTTTATGTGCTATAGGGACAAGGACAAGAGAGAACCCATATGCATCTTGATAGATACCGTATAACTCTGGTTTTCATCCTCCAAATACTTCCCATTCTCCTCATCTTTTAGAGGAGCAAGAAATAAGAACAGATGTATTTCTTCCCATAGTTTTAAATTTTGAGGTTTCAGCCTCCTGATGTTCCATCCGCTTGTTACCATGAACTGTGGGAGCAGTGCATTTTCTTGACATTCTTTCATGTATTCTGAAAAGAGGGAGAAGTTGAGAAAACTTAATAATTGAAAAATATATAGCACAAAGAAGATGTACCTCCCCTCCAAATCCCAAGCCTGGGTGTTTGGATACCCCTGTACCTGACTGGGGGGATGGCTGACTGCTGTGCTTGCTGTTAATAGGAGACACCCCTCTCAAATAGGCATGTGGGAAAGAGGATACAAAGACTGACTGTGCACCCGACTTCA